CAACCATTATATGTTATAAGTATAATTTTGGTAGTTACAATAAAAATAACGGAATATCAAAAAGTGTATTTAAAAATATTTATCAGTTACCAAAATAACTAAGCAATTATCTATCAACATATCAGAGAATTCATTTTTACAATCAACTTATTTTACTATATAAAATAACATGCATTTAAGTGCCCGTAACTTCAGCAAATTATTTTTCATGTTATCTCAAACTAAATATTACACACAGTGAGGTTTGGTACCGCAAAACATTTTGTTGTTTAAAATAAAAATTAATTTATAGTACCTTTACCAAATAAAGACATTTTAAGTAATATGTAATTTTATACATTTAATTGATTTGAATAAATTTTGTTCTCAACTTCCAAAACTAAATTCACGAAAAGTATATCATAAACAATATTATTGGTTTGGTGGCCTAAAATATTTATATTTTATACACTGGTAATAATTTTGAAGAAACTGCATTGGTTACAAATAGGTTTTAATGGTCTTTACAATTTTTAATGATAATTATTTAAATTCCCTGCTGTAATCTCGTTATTGTAATATTTTTAAATACACTTTTTGATATTCCGTTATTTTTATTGTAACTACCAAAATTATACTTATAACATATAATGGTTGAATTTGCTTGAGCACTTGCATTTTCATTGATGTCTTGTATTCCAAGTGTGATTATAGTTTGTTTGCGTCTCATTATCACTTGTAAAAGATCCTGGTATCATTAAAAATAGTTTAGATTTGACCTCATCAATAGTCCATAAAATTGAATAATGCGTTGATAACCGAATAAAATTCAGAGGACTTTCTGTACGTTACTAACTATTGAATCTTGGTTACTCTTGTTTGTACACTTAATACATGCCTTACATTTATTCAAGGGTCTTGGGTCATTTGACCTACAAAATTACCTACAAATTACAGCTAGTCATTTGACATAGAGTCATTTGACCTCCAATACCTACAACGTTAAATATTTAAAAAATTATATTTTGAACACACCCCCTAACTCCTCGTAGAGTTAATGTATTTATATGCGGATTTCGATGTTTTTGAACACAACCACTAACTTCTCGTAAAGTTAATGTATTTCTATACCAATTCCAGCTCCCTACGTGGAGTTGGGGCTTCTACGAGGGAAATGGTGTTTCCCTGTGGGAATTCCAATCCCCTACGGGTGTAATACATTAATTCTACGAGAAGGTAGGGGGTGTGTTCAAAATCTAAATTTTGTAAATATTTAACGTTGTAGGTATTGTTGGTCAAATGACTAGGTCAAATGACTTGTAGGTCAAATGACCGAATACCTTATTAAAGCGTAGAACCAAACTATTTGAAAACTAACCAGATCGTTAAATATATTAACTTATATTTTAAATATATTATTTAATCAAATAATAAATTAACTTAATCATGAACAAAATTAACCTAATTATACACTAAATTAACTTAACCACTACATTGATTTAATTATACATTAACTTAACTTAATCATAGGCAAAATTAGTCTGATTAAGTTACTTTAGTTCATGATTAAGTAAATTTTGTCCATGATTAAGTTAATTTAGTACATAATTAAGTTAAAATGCCAGTTTGGTTCTACCGATCTAAGCATGTAAAATGTAAAGCAAGTATAAAGTGTACAAACAAGAGTAAGCAAGAGTTCAAAGGTTGATAACGTACAGAAAGTCCTCTGAATCTTACACTATTTAGCTATTAATTTAATATATTTAATATTAATTTATTAACAAAATTTCAAATTTTACTAATTACAAAACTTGAGTTGTTCACACTGCTACTAGATTAGATTTGGAATTTTTTTGTCGAAAAAAAATTTCTCAAACTTTTGTTAATTTAAAAACAGCCGGACTCAGGGACCCAGGTTTTATTTATTAAATTAATTTTAAAACTTTACAATTATATCAAAATATTAGTAAATTTTATTAACTATAATATATAGATACACCATAATATGTAATTTATAAATTTTTATTTATTTACATTATTATAATCTTTAATTATTTTTAACAAAATAATTTTATGATTTTAATCAGTAATTGTAAAATAAAATTAAAACAATATTAAATAAAAGTTACAAGTAAAAATATTTGAATAATATTATTTATTTAATTTTAGTAAGTTTAAAGTTTTAAAATAATTATTTAATTAATGTTAATTATTCATGTTTAAATTTTCTTTTACTAAAAATCTCACAAAATAATTATAATTTGTTGAGTGATAATGATTAACTAGAAATACCATGAAATGGTACATTAGATTCCGCTACATATTTATGAAAATATAAATCAATTAAATTGTATAACAGTAACTATGGTTCTTTTATATATTTACCTAGATTACACATTTCTATTGTGATTAAATTCTAGACTATTGTATCTATTGGCGCCTATAGACTAGACATCACTACTAAATTGAAATAAACTTTGAACAGTATAAATAAATTCCTCTTATACTAGTAAATGTCGTAAACATGATATAATATAATGCTATATTAATATTAATTAAGAGAAAAATAAATTGTAATTCCTACACTATTAGACGTCTCATACAACTTTTTGATTGATCTTCACTAATTATGAAATTATTTGTAGTTAATTATTGTTTGACTAACTTTTATTTGTTTTATTACACGGTTATCTTTCTGAGAAACTCAAAACATTTACTAATATTTATGACACTATATATCAATAATTCAATTAAAATTGAAATGACACTATTTCTCTGAATATTTATAACCTGACTTATAAGTGAAATTCGTAAAAATACAGTTTTAAATTGAACAATTATATTAATAATTATAATTATATAATTAATTAATAATTAAATTCTGTTAATCAATAGATTAAAGCTAATTATTAATCATTACATAAAACAAATAAAAATATATGAGGGCAATTATGTTATAATTAAAAAGATTTTAAAAAGCTTTATTTATTAATTTCAAATATAATGTTTAGAAACACATTTTTTCTAACAGTATTATTTGTATTAAAATTATAAAATTATAATTGTATTCCATAATATTGCATTTTTTACATTTATACAATTATTTAATTGTCGCCATAAACGTATCATAATAAAATTTATCATTTGCATGAAATACAAATAATACATTACTCAAAAACAAGTTAGATATTTTTGTAAAAATGATAATTACTAATGTTATAATCAAAATACGTTATAGGATGTAGGATAAATCGTTTTTCATGAACTATATTAAGTATACAGTATGTAAATATTATATAAATAGCTATTGCAAACATTTTATATTATAAATTTAATAATTTATAAAAATAAATTACATTTTAATATTTGTCAAAAAGAATTTTTAAACGCAAATTTTCAAATATGATAATTTTATAAATTTAAATTATTATTACCGATAAATATTGACTACGGCCTTTAATTGAGTAAGTACAAATTAATATGAAACTAATTCCTACCATAATAACTAATTATTAATAATTTAACTTGTATTAATTAAAACATATAAATACTTAACTAAATTATTCAAAAATATTTAAAATTTATTTAAATGTTTTTAAAAATTGGTTTTATTGATATATTTTTAATTAGTAATTTCTTACATATTATAATTGATTTAAATCCAACATTATAATTTATTGCAATAATTTTACATCAAAATTTCACATATATTATAATATAATTTTATATTCACATATCATAGAACATATTACTAGTTAAATGTAATCTGTTTGTATTTATACTATGGTGACCAGATTAAAAAACTTGAATGTTGACTCAAAATTACTTAACATTCAATTTTATTTAAGTTTTAACGGTAAATTAATAAAAATTTAGATTATTTTTATTTGAATCCATGTTATTAATTGTACTATATGTATTTTATAATTAGATCATTAGTTCAAGAGTGTTTATTATATTACAAAGAGTCTTTAATGAATCGTTATATATCGTTAATATAAATATCGTTAATACAATATCTCTAGTCATGTACCAAAGTATGAACCCTAAAATTATTATGTATTTTTGAATTCCGATTCTTATCATTGTAATCCGTATATCACAATCCGTAATACCACAGTTACAATCCATATATCAGTAAAAGTATATTTCTATATATGAGAAGTTAAGAGCTGAAGGTTCTTCTGTATTACAGTTCAGACTTAAATGCTGTACTTGGTTTAATGTTGTAATGAAATAAAGTATTGATATAATATTAAACCCAATACAGCATTGATTACAGTCTGAACAATAATACAGAAGAACCTTTCAGCTCTTAGCGTCTCATATAACGATTCATTAAAGATACTGTAGTTATAATTATGTGATATTTTTTGTAACTAATTCAATACTTGACAATATTTCCCTGATTATTACATGAAATAAAATTAATATTCAAATATATAGTACTAATAAAACTAAAATCATTATATTTTGTTTAAGACAATTAAATTATAATAATACTGTACCTACTCATAATCATATACTTTGTTAGTAAAAATAAATATGTAATAAATATTACATTGTAGATTTATATGGAAAATGATAAAAATTGTTGTTAGATGGTTGTATTTTGAAAATTATTTTTAATATTTAATCATAATCATATTTCTATCCAATTTTTAATAATAGGGTTTGAGTTGTTTGAGAGAGAAGGCGATGAATGGCTTTTGAGGGCCAGAGAGATGAATGGTGAATGAGTTACCGGTGCGCCTAAAGTAAAGTATTTATATTTTATTAAATGTATTTTAATTTTAATATAATTTTATAAAAAATTAACTTTAAATATAGCAGATTTACAAATACTTGACGTCAAATATTACCCCCTCCTTCATACTTGACAAGACCCTCAAATTCTTGACAATGGGCAGTCTAATTTTTACACTTAAATGAGTCCTCAATTTAATCACTCATTTGGTTCACCTTTTCTCCATATTGACACACAAGCCATCCATTAACTTACAAGACATGGGTGTCCATCATGTCTCAGACAAAGAGGACTTCGAGGGTCAACTGGCTGAAGCAGGGTCCAAGTTGGTAGTGGTGGACTTCTTTGCCACGTGGTGTGATCCCTGCAAAATGATATCTCCAGTGCTCGACAAACTGAGCGAAGAGTTGGTAGCAGATGTGATGTTCCTGAAGGTGGATGTGGACGAGAATGAAGACATAGCCACCCGCCATGAGGTTACAGTTAAACCCACATTCTTGCTCTTTAGACGTGGACAAAAAGTGGACCAGTGTTCCGGCGCTAATGAGTCTAAACTCCGCGAACTCATCACCAAATATAAGTAATTCATTGATATTTTGTTAAAAACGGATTGAAAAATATATTTGTGTTTGAATTGTGATTATTGTATGAATTAACAATTTAATGATTTATATTTAGGTAATCCCTGTTCCATAGAAGTAAATCTTAAATGAATTTAAATTTGTTAGAATTTTTTAACATCTTTCAATGAAATATGTTTTTAAAAAGTTTATATTAATTGTATTTATTATATGGATTAATTATAAGCTTATTATCAAAGTTTCTTTACATATAGTTTAGCTATCTGTTTAGTTTTTGTCATTTAGTTTAAATTGCAAATTAATGATAAGATCAATCAAAAATTTTATCTATAATCTCATGATTGAAATTTTATTTTGAAACAACATATTTCAAATAACTTTGTATGGTACTTTATTATTAGATGAAATAATTTTCTGTACCCCAATAAAGCAGTTTTTCGAAATTATAAAATAAATTTCTGTACTTTTCATTGAATTAAATGTCAAAACATAAAATTTCCCCACATTTCAAACATAAGTTAAATAATTTATTAATTAATAATTAAAAAATATTTCTATTAATTATATTTAAAATAATGGATAGATTTGATTACGCTAGTATTGTCGATAACAATAGACTTGATGACAATTTCACAATTAACCATTTTGGTGACATTATTGGAAGTGGTTCATTTGGTACAATACTTAGAGTTAAGCACAAGTATATTGGAAAATATTATGCAATCAAAAAGGTGGCGTTGTCAGAAACTAATATGGTACAATTTTACAATCAACATAGAAGGGAAATAAAAATATGGTGCAAGTTAAATTCAGAGTATATTGTAAAAAATCATGTAAACTGGATCGAATATGACAGAAATACAACCGGATATAATTTATACATTCAAATGGATGTGTGTTCATATAACATGTCGATATTAATAAAGTTCACTAAGGAATATTACATTAAATATAATAACAATGAGAAAATAAATGAAGAACTGTTCATCTATTTCTATCTACTAGAAAATATTCTCAAGGGTGTTTATTATCTACATACAAACATTCCGAAAGTAATTCACCGTGACTTAAAACCTGATAACATTTTGATTGCAAATTTTAAAGGTTCCAAAAAGGTTCTAGTTAAAATCGGAGACTTTGGCTTAGCTACCACACATGACGATGATATTGAGCACACTCCAAATGTCGGCCCTGATAAATACAAGGCCCCAGAAGTAATAGCACGTCGCAATTACGATACGAGTGCTGATTTATTTAGCATCGGTATTATTATGAAAGATATATATTTAAACGAACGTGATTCGTAAGTTTAAATTTTGTTTGTTCGCAATAAATTACAAAATATTAATATATTTCTAAATTAAATTTTGTTTTGTAGATGTAGATTACCAGATGACTTTCGTAGTAAAGTTCGAATTATTGTTGAGCAATTAACCCAAAATGATCCCCATAACAGATTAACTCATAAGCAGCTTTTGAATAAGTTTAATGATTTAGACAATGACCGCACATTTATACACGATGAATATAAAGATGCACTTGAAACTGAAGAAGTAAACATGTTTATTAAAGATAGGGTAAACAAAATCGAAATTTATGGAAAATTTGAAAGTAGCGTTCAACAAGTCATTGATAAAAACTTAAATTTAACTGAATGTTTCAATCCCAATTTTATTGAGAAAGATATGATGAATAGTTTGTTTAGATTCCGAAAAGATGAAATTGGATTAGGAAAGTTTAGTACTGTTTATTGGGCCACAAATTGTTTAGAAGACAATGACTACGCCATTAAAAAGATTATTCTAACTGGTTATTTAATTTTCTTTTTATTTTTTCTTATACAGTATAATATGCCATAGTATAGTGTTGGCTGTAATGATTAAACAAATATTATTTTAATTATTAATTCCATTTATAATAGAGATGTATTTGTATTGAAAATGTTATTTAAGCAAAATTTTTTAGAATAACTTAACTTTAAAATATGAATTACATTTTTATTAGGAGATGATGCAATTAAAGAACAATTGGAACAATTACATTTATGGGCACAACTGGATTCGGACCATTTTGTTCGCTACAAACATCATTGGTTTTATTACGATAATGTAACAACTGGAGATCAAGTATTATACCTTCAAATGGATTTGTGTCTCATGTCATTAAGAAATTTAATTGCTAAGATTTTAGTCTATTTTAAAAGAAAATATAAGCAATTTTTACCTTTGCTCGGGTACTATGTCGCTTGTTCTTTGCTGACTGAAATTGCCGAGGCTATTTATTACTTGCACACTCAAAATCCACCGATTATGCACAGGAATATTAATCTTAATAATATATTAATTCAGAAATGGGGCAATGGAAATTTTATTAAAATTTCAGATTTTGGACTAGCCACGGAATTCGCGGAGCAATCACAACTGACAACCATTACAGATGGTAATGAGTTCAAGGCCCCTGAAGTGAAAAGTGCGAAATATGGTCTTAAGTCGGATGTCTATAGTATTGGAATGGTCGGAGTATATTTGTTCAATGTTGACCTGTTTGCAGATAGGTATTGATTTATTCATAAAATATTTTTAAAATATTTTTAAAATTATATTTATTTGTAATATAGTGATAATGAAGAATATACTGAAATTATGAATATGATTAACCGATGCCTAGTTAACCCTGCTAGAAATAGATGCTCATGTCGTCAAATATTGGATGAAATGGATTTACCAATAAAAACTAAGCATGCCCGAAGTAATATTGGAAATTTTGATGTTGATGATGTTTACGAGCTTGATAACAAAATTGTTGAAAATATTTTACAAACAAAACTATCGTGTAATTTAAACTAAGTAAGGAACATTGAGACACGAATCTCGATTAAGTAGTTCTAATTGTTATTATTAGTTAGCCAGTAACACTATTAACATCTTGAATTGACTAAACTTGGCAAATCAAGTAAACTAGCTTGCTAAATTCACATTTAACTATCGCTGACATCCTCATTTTGTCATTGAATTTTAGTTGTATAAAATGTTATACTATTATTTTGTGTACATATATCGGTAATTATTTCTAAAATTATCTTTTGTTTACTGGCATAAAGCAGTCTCATACAATTACACAAATCAACTTATGTACAATCCATAAAACTTATGTTATATCAATGACAAAATGAGGATGTCAGCGATAGTTAANAAGCAGTCTCATACAATTACACAAATCAACTTATGTACAATCCATAAAACTTATGTTATATCAATGACAAAATGAGGATGTCAGCGATAGTTAAACATAAATTTAGCAAGCTAGTTTACCTGATTCGCCAAGTTTAGTAAATTCAAAATGTTAATTGTGTTACTGGCTAACTAATCATAACAATTAGAATCACTTAATCGAGATTCATGCCTCGATGTTCCCTACTAAATAGTATTATAGAGACTGTAAAGTTTACAGTGTAAACCAACCATATAATTTAATATTATTTCTATGTTTACTTAATATTACATTTAATTATAAGTTATTATTAAATTAAATGAATTTTCATAATAAAAATAAACTTTTTAAAAATATTATGAAGGTATATAAATAATACTAGTAATAATAAAATATTAAATAATTTAAAAACACGTTTATACAATCAAATAATAAAATATTATTAAATTACTAGAACTATTAATTTAAATTTTTATTATTCTTTTAAAATGTTTTTAATAAAATTCATTTACAGATTAATTCATTAATTAAATAAAAAAGTAAACAATTTTAATTAACTCAAACTATATTAAATAAATACAAAAACAAGGTTTGAAAGCAATGCTATAGATAGTTTTAAAGTTAAGCTAATATAGAATTAATTATATTTTCATTAATTATCAGGTGTTTGCAAATGTTTTGCGAAGTGAGATTTATTCAGTAACGGATAGAAGTATCGAAATTATTTTTGAACCTCAACTATGGTTTTTGCTTTTATGTATTTACTCGAAGGGACAACTCTTTTAGAGCACCGGTATGTTAGCACAGGTAGGTTATCTGTACAGCAAAAACTACAAGTCGCAGAAAGGCGAATAGCACATCGTTGGAAAGAGCA